TTGGATATGCGTACAATAGTACAACATATAGATTTCTGGTTCATAAATCAGAAAATCCAGAGGTATTTGTTGGTACCACGATTGAGTCAAGGAATGCTATATTCTTTGAGAATATTTTTCCTATGAAGGAAAGGGAAGAATCTAGTTCTAATAAAAGAACGTATGAAACTGCTAGTGGTTCTGTACCAGAGTGTACTGATGAAGAACCGAGACGTAGTAAAAGGGTAAAAACGGCTAAAATGTTTGGACCTGATTTTATTACGTACATGTTGGATGATGAACTGGGTTCCCTTAAGGAAGCTCTGTCCAGCCCAGATGGACCACTCTGGGAAGAAGCTGTAAATAGTGAAATCGAGTCCATTATGATACTTGGGAGTTGGTTGATCTCCCTGATGGTTGTAAACCTTTAGGATGCAAGTGGATCCTAAAGAAGAAATATAAAGTTGATGGATCGATTGATAATTTTAAAGCACGTTTGGTGGTCAAATGCTTTAAACAAAAGGAAGGGTATGATTTCTTTGATACCTATTCACCTGTTACGTTTTAGCGTCGATAAAAGTGCTTCTCTCGATTGTTGCTTTGCACAATCTTGAGATTCACCAAATGGATGTCAAGACGGCATTTTTGAATAGTGAATTGGAAGAAGAAATATACATGGAACAACCTGAAAGGTTTGTTACACCTTGACAAGAGAAAAGGTGTGTAGATTGATCAAATCCTTGTACGGACTGAAACAAGCTCCGAAACAATGACATTTGAAAGTTGATGACGTGATGTTGACAAATGATTTCAAAATCAACGAATGTGATAAATGTGTTTATGTCAAGAGTACATCAAATACATTTGTGATTGTCTGTCTATATGTAGACGATATGTTGATCATGGGGAGTAGCCATGAAGTGGTCATGGATACGGAAAGAATGTTGAAAAGAAATTTCGACATGAAAGTGTTTAGTAAAGATTTTGATGGGCAAGGGATAACCGAGTTACCCGACTCGGGTCGATCTCGAAGGAAGGCTATTCGGAGCTTCGTCTACTAAATGATCGTCCAAATCACAAAAATTGAAAATAAAATCCTAAACATTCTAAACAATTGATTGGATGGTTGATTAACACTACTTGAGCACTAAAAAACGAGCAATTAATTGAAAGCAAGATCAAAAGACGAGCAATTCGCAAACTAGATCACCGGAGTCTCATGCCATAACCAATACGGGATGATAATCAATTAACATACGGAATAAACGAGCTACGAGCATTAGAATGCTAAACCTAGTCTTCTAACCGAGATGAACAAGTAATTAACGACTCTATCTACTCAAGCAAGCAATCAAGTTCAAGCATTTCCACCATCATCAATCAAATCCAATTTACTCTAATATAAATTATAAGTAAAACTGGAGCAAAAATGAAGTAAAGAGCTTTAAAACTAAATACTCAATCTCTCATTGCGACGATGAAAAACGGAGTCAAAAGCTCGAAACTTGAACGAAACCGAAGTCGCCGGAAAATCTCTCGAAAAATAGCATAAGCTCCTAATCTAGAGAGCAAAAATAAAACATAAACTAATTTCCCAAAGAGGAAAAGTGAAAAATGAGAGTTGGATCCCCAAAATGCAAAGGACAAAATATATTTATACTACTACCCAAAACACACACTAAAACACGCAGATTTAATGGGACACTCTCGACGTCTCCTTAAAATCCGCGAGCTCGCAGGTAGTGGTTGGCACAGGTGCAAGGGCGCAGAGACACTCTCGAGGTCGCGTGTATCATCGCGAGGGCGCGGATGCGGGTGTGCGCGGGTGCGGGCAGCAGTGGACGGCACTCTTGATCTCGCTGTGGGTTTCGCGAGGACGCGGACGCGCTGTGTGCTGGGGCAGATAGCTCTCGACCTCGCGGAAATGAAGGCGGGCTCGCGAGCGGGCGTATGAGCTGGGCAGGGGGCTCTCGACGTCGTGGGGACTTCCGCGTGCACGCGAGCGTGCAATGTGCTGAGCGCTTGGCTCTCGACGTCGGGGGGACGAGCGCGAGCTCGCGGCGTGCTTGTGTGAGATGCTCTCGACTTCGCGAGGAAGTCCGCGACGGCGCGAGTGGTGCGATGGACGTGCGGGCTGCGGGATGCGCGAGTACTGGGCTGCACGCGTCCAGGCTCGACTAAGGCTCGACATACTCGACCGAAAATGTTCGTACAAATGGCTCGGAACTTCTCGGCATTCTCGGGACTTTCGCTCGAATTCCTCATCATCCTCGAAAAACACCTGAAAATGCAACAATAATACGGACAAGTACGCCAAAATATAAAATAAAACAAAAACACGAAAACACACGGAAAACGACAAAACGGACCGGATGACACAAAAACGAACCTAAAAATGACTCGATAACACATATAAACACATGAAAATACGCACAAAAACATAACAAACAGAAAGATATGGGTTTGCTGATGTTATTCTTGGAATAAGGATTATCACAACCTAAGATGGAATTGTCTTGTCACAATCTCATTATGTAGAGAAAGTGCTCAAGAAATTTGATACCTATGACGGTGCACAATCTAGGTGTAAGACACCCCTTGATCTCAATATAAATCTGGAAGTCGACAAAGGTCAACCAGTGGCTCAGTTGGAAAATTCATGGATTATAGGAGTCTGATGTACTTGACGAATTGTACACGACCAAACTTGGTCTATCCGATGAATAAGTTGAGCAGATTTACGAGCAATCCCAGTCATGAGCACTGGAATGCTTTGAGAAGGGTACTTAAGTACTTGAGGTACACCCTTGAATACATGCAAAAATACTCGAGATACCCAGTTGTACTTGAAGGGTACTGTGATGCAAGCTGGATGTCATATTCGAGAGATTCTCGCTCCACTAGAGGATATGTTTTCTGTATAGGAGGAGGTGCAGTTTCGTTGAAATCCACAAAACAAATGTGTATAGCTCGGTCAATGATGGAATCGGAGTTCATCGCTTTAGATAAAGCTGGTGAAGAAGCTGCGTGGCTTAGAAATTTTTTATCCGATATTCCATGTTGGGATAAGACTTTGCCGTCTGTGATGATTCACTGTGATAGCCAAGCTGCTATAGGTAGGGCGCAAAGCAACTTGTATAACGGTAAGTCTAGACATATTCATCGTAGACATAATACCGTACGTCAATTGATCATTAATGGTATTATTTCCATTGACTATGTGAAGTCTAAGGAAAATTTGGCTGATCCTTTGACGAAAGGATTGAATAGAGATTACTTGACAGTTTTGCTAGAGGGAATGGGTTTAAAAATCCACAATGTAAAGAATGATCATAGTGGTAATCCTACAATGCTGAGTGGAGATCCCACAAACTAGGTTCAAAGGAAAAATTAAGCTATGAAAATTCAGTCGAGCACTTGGAACATATGAATGTCCAAAGCTATTCCCTAGAGCACACCAAGTGCAAGATTACCTGTTGATTGTGGTAAGGGTAAGTCATTTGGATTTAATGAATCCTTAATCTTGTAAAGGTAGAGTAAGACAGAATACTCTTAATAGGGAGGTCACCTTTATAAGTGTGAAGTGTGGGCCGCTTTAAATGTAAACACTTATGAATCCATTGTGTTGTCCATGGCCAAAACGGACACAACGTTAGAACGAAATGAAGTTAAGACTCTATTGTGTGAATGTCATTGTCTCGGTTTACACTATGGAGGAATAGTTCAAGACATTATGTCCACTAGGCCGCCAGTGCATCCGATGATGTTTACTAAGAAAGGTTCAAAGCCAAAAGCTACCTTTTCTGATGCAATAGTGTTTTGTGAGGATTGAGCATAATAGTTTGTATACATTTTATTTCTCTCATGTGGGGGATTGTGAATAATTGAGAGAATTAAAATAATGTGGGACCCTCCATCTTGGTTTGTGTGCCAATTTTTAAAGCAATAATTCATACCCTATAATTGGATTGAGGAGTTGTACATGTGAAGACATCATATGAAGGTACCAAAATTTGTCAATTTGTGGGGAAGGAAACTGCGTAGAAGGTTGGAAAATTGGCCAACTTGTGCCAATCTATCCCTATAAAGTAGGACTCAGGCATGAGGAAAACATAAAAAAAAAAGAAGAAGAGAAAAAGAGAGGAAAGAAAGGAAAAGAGAAAGGAAATAAAAGATAGATATATGTCCCAAATCGGACATAAAAATATCAAAAGAGAATAAACAAGTGATATTTTTATTTGTTTTATGATATTTCTTTTATTTTTAAGTGCTCAATTCTCGACTCCGTTCCCGTTTGCCGGAGCTCGTAAATCTGGTGTGCTACGGATTTAGAGACGTTTGCCGTTGTATCTTTGGGGAAGTTACGCCTGTTTCTTCTTGCGGAAAGAGTTTTACTCGCCTCGGCTAAAATCTTTCTCTTTTTCAGTTGTAATTTATTTTTTTTTTCAATTCAATTGTAATTTTATATTTTAGATTATTTGTAAGAACTGAAAATTACATATCAGTTCGTAGGATTCTCGTGTAATTTTCACACAATATATCCAACATTAGTCAGAGGCTTGCATTCTTTCAATATTCATCAATAACATCCGACTATTCTCCAAAAATATCAATTATTCGATATCATAAATTAATTACTATATTTAAATTAACTGGAAGTATGGTGCGTCTTGATTGTACTTCAAGCAAATTAAACACCCGTATATATTATTATTATTATTATTATTATTATTATTATTATTATTATTATTATTATTATTATTATTATTATTATTATTATTATTATTATTATTTGAAAGGGGAATTCATTCTTGTAATAAGAGCTAGCATAAAGAGGCGGCGAAAAGTTGGACGTACGCCGCTCAACACGCCCGGAAATACAAAAACGACACACGCACTTACGACACAAAACATGAAACCATACTGAAAAAAGAAAGAAACAAAGAAAGTGATGGGAGTTGGGCTGACATATTAAGCAGACCACAGCCCCCTAGAGGCTAGAGAGATAGGTAGCTAGCTAGCTAGCCACATTTGGTTTCCTTAAATGAAACAGTGCGTTGTTTGAGGTCGAATCCCACCAAAAAGTCGGCTTGTGCCAGGCTGCCCAATGCAGGTGCTCCGGTTGGTGTCACCATCAGGCATAAAACCACCTGACCGTTACCACTGCTTGTATTTATCAAAAGATTGTTGTACCCCAAAGTCACGGCTTTCCCGCCGCCCATGTGAACTGTGACGCCTGGAAAACTATCGCTCAAGTCCTTGTCAGTAGTGTTGAATCAAGAAACTGCTTCTAAATCTTTTGGGGTTTGCGCTGGCGGCAGTTGTGCCTCCTTCCATAACCACTCAGTCACGGAATTGTTTAACTGGTCGTACAGACCTCCCAGAAGCCGTGTCAAGGTCGTCCCTATATCCAGAATCATCTCTTGCAGGCCCGAAAATTTGTCCAGCATCGTCTTCCCGAAGCTCATCCCTTCCAGCTCCACAACGTAGTAGCTCTTGGTTTCGGGCGTCGGCGCAGCAGTGGTACCGACAACCCCTTCTCCAGTGACGGGTTTGCCGAAACTCATCTTGCTCGTGGTTTTGTCGTCCGCCACCGGCACCAGGCAGTAGGAGAATCTCCCCTGGCCCAGCTGATTCACGAGCGACAGCTCTCTGCCCCCAAACCCAACCATGGGCAACGAGTTGTTGTGCGCGTAATTGCATCCGAACATGATGTTACTCGTCGAGATGTCGTCGAACGTGATGGTGTCCGCAAAGAGTTCACCCACGGCAGCAGTCCCGTCAGCAAATTTGATGTTGTAGTGGCATGTGTTTCCTTATGTTGCGCAGTTGGAGAGGGATTCGTGGCACGTGGTGGGGGCACGGGACGGGCGTCGAGTGCCGGGGGTCGAAGTTACCTCGGCCGTGGCACGGGGTCCAGGTGAGGTCACTTGCGGTGTCGGCCATGCCTTTGGTAGAGAATGAGCCGATCGAGTAATTGATGAAATAACCGGTTCCCGAAAATCAGATTGTGGGGCTGGGCAATGATGTTTGTGCGGAGAGCTGATGAGTGGAGGAGAGGGAAGAGTCCTTGTGAATTAGGGTGACAGTATGATGTAAGGAAGCCTACGAGTGGAAGGATAAAACAAGTAAATGAGATACTCTCTCGTAAACCACGTAAAACTCAACAATATCTTATTTCATTTCAATAATCAACTGATTAAAATAAACTAGAGGGAGTCCATTATATAAAGCCCTTAATTCTAAACCTAACTTAATCACCAAGATATCTGAACCTAACTTATTCTCTTAGACACTTATTAAATAATAATAATAATAATAATAATAATAATAATAATAATAATAATAATAATAATAATAATAATAATAATAATAATAATAATAATAATAATAATAATAATCTATACTAATCTATACCATTCTCCCCCGATTCGGAGGGCTTCGTCCTCGAAGCCGATGCGCACCCGTGGCCGGCGTGTGGTGTCGAACCCATGGTAGAAAACCCCCGTCGTTTTCCCCGGTCGAACACGAAGGTTGAATGTCGCACCTCCATGGTAACACCTCCTTGAAATTCATGGAAAGGCATATATGCAGTAATTTTGAAGTCACCGTGAGGATAAAAAAATACTACCTCTTTTTTCAAAAAAAAGTCTACCCATGGTAGACATATTAATGTCTAGATACATAGCAAAATGGATGAATCAAAAAAGTCAAAACGGGAGTATCATTTATTTGCAAGGCCACAACAAATTCCCGTGGAAGAAAAGCTTGGGCCTGCGCAACAGAAGAACTACCAATTCTTCCAACAGTTGAATTTCGATACCCGAAACATGATGGAATTTCTCCAGCCCCGAAGGCTCTTTATCGAAAATTGGCGGACCGTCGTAGAGACCGTCCACTTCGCCGGTAAGACGCTCCTCGACCTCCTCGGGTCCTTCATCAAATACAGGCGGACCATCGTGCAATGGCCCGTCAACTTGCTCTTCGTCAAATTCGAGGATGTCTACATGAAACGGGCCCTCCCATCGACCATAATCATGATCAAATTCTCAATCGC